ACGAGAGAGTATCTCTGGCCTGGGAAAGTGCGACCTAGAAAAGCCCCAAAGCCCCAAAGCCCGAACCTGAACACAAATTTGTTGCTGGTTTTATGTTTATAACGATATATATTGTGTATTTATAGAACTCAAAAGTCTGACATCACTCGCCGAGGCACACACGACAGCCATGCGATGCGATGGATGATGACGCTGATTTGATGATCTGAGAATGATGCGAAAAAGCCAGCACTAACCTTTTGTTAATAGAACATCAGAGCACTAGATTTGTTTGTTGCTTTTTGTGCTTTGTTTTATGACAAAAATCAAGTTGGGTTTTAATGGAAGGCGCGTCGGAGCGTGGCAGGGGGTTCGGCAGAGGGGCGGCAGAGGGGCGGAGGGGTATTGAGTGCCCCCAAAGTAAATACTCGAATACATTTGCATATTCTCGTGTTGTCGTGTTGTCGTATTTGTACAATACATTAATGCTGCCACGATGAGTATATTTGCCGTCTGTATCGGAGGCACACAGCCAATGTTAATAGGGACTTTTATTAGTTTTTGGCCTGATATTTGTATAAACTTTTTATGGTACACATTTCCCTATAAACCGACAGACAGACAGACAGACAGACAGACAGACATTTGATTTATGTCACTTTAATGAGCCTTGTATTCAATCATGTATTCAATTAGCTTTTACCTTTAATCGAGAGCACAAGCTGCCCATAAAAGTGGTCCTCTTTCCCCCCCAAGGCGGACAGACACGGCATTCGAGTGTGTTCAGTTGTTCATTTGTTCATTTGTTCATTTGCTCGTTTGGGCTGTGCCGATGAACACGCATTTCATTTTCACACTAAATGTATGCAAATATTAGGTCAGGGTTCGGTCGATGAACTCTTAACTCTGAATATTGCACATTAATTGCGAATTTAATTCGATTTTTCTGCCTAACAGGGAATTTATTAAGGTTTGAGGGGGATTTTTGGAAAGGAAAACAAACGAAGAGTGCTGCTTAGATGAAATTAGGGAAAATCCAGGGGTTCCTTGGGGGGACTTCTCCTCCAATCAATGCCATGAAAACTAGAATCGAAAAGGCCCATTCCTCTACTCAAGCAGACGGCGACCGGTCCCGAGAATGCAAAAACAAAATACACGCAACGTATGATTCGAGTCTCAATGATTAGGGAGGAATCTTCTGGTCAACAAATACAAACTTGGATTACAAAAATAGTTTAAAAAACCCATAAAAAAGCTGGGAGGCCAATTCCGTACGTGCTGAATGGCTTTGACCACACATTAGGGGTATTCGGGTAAACTTTCAAACTCAAAATGTGACAAAACCAACTTAATTTTTGGTCATCCCTTCAATGAAAGCCTCCAAGAAAGAAGCCACAAATCTCTCGTCGAAACTGCCTCTAAGCATACATAGAGGGTATTTGTGTACATGCTGAATCGCTGAGTCGAAAGTTGAATCTTGTTTCCATCCATAATTAAATAGTTTCCCATACAGAAGGATCTGGAGCCCACACTTTTCAATTGCCCCTCGATCGGGGCATATAAATCCTGCAAAATCAAGCCAACGCCTCCACAAAAATGGCTATTTCCCAATTAAATCAACGATCGGATCGGGCTGGCACTCGGGGATTACGTGGCCAATGGTTTGGGGGGGGTCGAGCGGGCAGGTTCGTAATGAAAGAGCGGCGGCGGCATTGCGGCATTGCGGCATTGCGGCGCTCCATAAAAATGCGCAATGATTTCATACAAAACGATAAGAAAGAACCCCAGAGGGAGGGGAGGTGGGAGGGGAGGTGGGACAGAGCCAGAACCAAGGTAATTTCATATCGAAATCGTGTTCTATCCGCTGCCACAAAGTATTAATTTAAAAGCCAAAAACGTGTTTGGCGTTAAGCGCCTCTGAAAGTGGACGATGGACGGACCTCCGGACCTCCGCTTGATCTTGTTCCCTCTCGATCGACTGTTTGTTAGAGCTGGGGGGGCTTTTGGGGCATTATATCATCGGCCATGCCACCCGTCCCCTCGAAAGTCTCTTCTACTTCCGCCTCGGTCGTACTTTGGGGATTGCACAAGTGCCGCACATGCGCCTTGGCCGACGAAATGCCTTCAAAATGCAGTCTTAACGGCTCGGTGCGTGCAAAAAGACGAAAAACACTTGAAATACGATTCAGATGCAGATGCAGGAGTTGGCGGAGGGGGGGGGGGGGGAGGCGGGGCGCCTGGCCATATGCATAATGGTTTACGAGTGATGCATAAAAGTACATCGTCTCGTTATGGCCTGGCGCGGCGTGGGGCGGGGGGAGGCGTTGGGTGGGGGGCTGTTTACTATATAGTGATGTCATACCATTTATGGTTCATATTTCAGTTAGACGTTGCCCGTCCCGCTAGGCCGTCCCGGCCCCGCTTTTGGCTTTAATTTATTCAAAGTTTATGAGAATTATCATTTTGCATATTGAAAACTCACTCACGTAGCATTGAGTCAGTGACTCCGTCGAATGATCTCCGATCGGATCGAAACGGGGCACCACATTTAGTTTAATTGTTTGGCTATTAAATGATTTTGTAAATTGATTGATTGCCGGTCATTAGATCGTTAAATCGAATGGCCCAAAGAGTCACAAAATAAATGGTTAATCGCCCACGCAAGAGCCCCCTTTCCCACCTCCCCCAAAAGCCAGCCAGTTCTCCTATTCTGCTGCTGCTGCTGCTGCTGTGTATCTTCTGTGGCATGTGGCACTTTCCACATACACAGCAGCGCTCTGTTCGGTTCTGTTCGGTTCTGTTCCATGTATCGACACATGCTCATCCCAACAGGAAAACCTAACGGATGCCATTACCATAAACAGCCAGTGTTGACCTTCATTGCAATCAAACAGAACAGAGAAGAGTGGAGCTGCTGCTGCGGCTGTGGCTGCCACAAGTGGTGCTCCTGCCGCTGCGGCTGCTTCTGGCGGCGGTGGTGCCTATCCAAAATTAGAAGCTGCTCTGTGCAGCATTGTCGTTTTGCTCTTGAGCAGGTTTTTGGCGACAAGTTTTCATGAATGAGAAATGCAGACACACGAGTGTGGCTGCCGCTGGCTGGGAGCTCAGGAACGTGACTCGAAAACAGGGCGAACAGAAGAATTCCTTGAGCAAACTTGTGGGAGAAAACTTTCTTCATCGTTTCATCGTTTCATCTTCGATAATTCTTTGCAGAGTCCCGAGAAGATCTACATCAAAGTCGTCGAGCTGGAGCCAAAGATCACGTCGCTGGGCGAGAATCTCGAAGAGTCCGTGCGCATGCAGCGGGAGCACGATGATACCCTGCGAAATCTGCAGGTAAGCCAGAGATCCAGCTTCGAGAGAGCCCCCGTCTAAAGCCCCTCTGACACCCCGCCCTCTAGAGCCTGCCCGGACCGATGGACGAGTTCGTGCAGAAGGCCGACAAGCTGCTGGCCAGCAAGAGGATCAGCTCGGAGCTGGTCAACGCCATGGCCGACACCTTGAACGTCATCTGGCAGGACATCCTGAACCTGCTGCAGGACCGGCAGCACATTCTGCTGCTCTGCACACAGTTCCACGACAAAATGACGCAGTGCTTCAGGCGCATGGACCAGCTGGAGATGGCCTGCAGCGAGACCCAGCCGACCCAGCCGATGGACGTGCCGCATGTGCAGGAGTTCCTCAACAGATTCAAGCAGCTGAGGATCGACATGCTCACGGGCGTGATGGCCGCCCTCAAGGACGGCAACGAGCTGCTCTCGCAGCTGGAGGAGCTCGAGAAGCTGGAGACCCTGGACACGCGGCCCGAGCACATCAAGCGGGACGCCACGCGGGCCGTCCACCAGGTGCAGCAGTGGCTGGAGGCGCTGCACGACCGCAGGAACGACCTGGAGGTCGCCTGGCAGACGCGCAAGACCCAGATGGAGCAGTGCCTGGCCCTGGGGCTGCTCGGACGAGAGCTGATCGACCTGGAGGCGGCCCTGCAGAAGGCCCGGATGGACCTCAACACCATGTACAGCCTCGGGGAGTGCGAGCACACGGCCAACGAGATGCTCGCCCGGTACAGGGAGTGGAAGCAGCAGGCGCTGCTCCTTCGCGATCGGGCGCTGAAGATCACCCGCGCCAAGGAGAAGGTCCAGTCGGCGGGTCTCTTTGCGGGGGACGAGGCCTGTGCCCGGGCCTATGCCGTCCTCAGCGGCTGCACCGAGCACCTGGATCTGGTGGATCAGCGCGAGCACTGGCTGCACCAGTCGCGGGAGTTCTTCGCCAAGGCCGAGCACACGCTCAGTGTCCTGGAGAAGCTGGAGCTGGAGCTGGCGAGCGTCAAGCTGCCGCCGAACTCGCCCGAGAGCTATGCCATGTTCTCCAAGGTGGAGCGCGACGTGCGAGGCTTCACCGAGGAGCCGCTGCGACTCGGCTACGGCATCTTGGACGAGGTGGGCCGCACGCAACCGGAGACGCAGGGCGTCAAGCGGGTCCTCGACGAGCTGGAGAACCGCAAGGCCTACATCGAGGGCATCTGTGCGCACAGCAGCGAGGACCAGCAGAAGGTGCAGCGAGCCCTCGCCGAGTTCCTCGCCCAGCACAACGAGCTCCTGGCCTGGCTGCGGGCCTCCGGGCAGCTGCATCTCCAGCAGAGCGTGGACATGGGCCGGAATCTGCAGCAGTCGAAGCAGTTCCTCCTGCAGCATCACGAGCTGATGCAGGACCTGGAGGTGAGTCCAGCGACACTATGAAACCCCATTAAGACTCTAACGAACCCCCTTTCCGTTTCCGTTTCCGTTTCCCCCACCCAGATCAAGGGAGAACTCATCAACCTACTCCTCGAGAGCATCAAAGTCCACTTGGAGTCGCTGAGCCCTCAGCAGCGCTACGATGTCGACTCGAAGGCCGAGTCCCTGCACAAGCACTGGATCGAGCTCAAGGATCTGGTGCTGAAGCGCGTCGACTACGTCTCCCTGCTGATCGAGTTCTTCGAGCAGGCCAACGAGCTCTCTAGTCAGCTGGATCACCTGCAGCGCCAGCTCCAGCAGACGCCCGACGAGCACAAGCTGCAGTTCCTCCAGGCCACGTGGTCCAACATTATCCTGGCCTTCGGCGAGCTCAAGTCCCGCGGACAGCGATTCATCAACTTGAAAGTCGGTATCCCCGCGGGCCCCAGGGAGGGAGAATCTTTTACTTTTAAGACCAAGTCGTTTCTTTGGAATTCTCTGAGAGCTTTGCGCCACTTTTGCATGTCCCGCTTGCCGCCCGCATCTCTGCCATGCTCCGCCTTCGAGCCGCTGACAGCTGCCACATTTGCACGCTGCAACCGCTGTCTAATGCTGCTCTGAAAAGCATAAACCATCTGCACATAGACTATGGGAGTACAATAGCTGTGTCGGCACAAAAGTATCTGCCCAGAAGAGGGGTACGCTGGCTATGGCCAGGGCTTCGAATGGAACTGCATCTGAGGTGTAGAAAGAGTGAATGGATAACCTATCTTCAGCCTTCGATTGGAAATATCTGTAGATCCACCATAAAGACCATTTATGGAATAGAAAAGGATAGAGCTAGTGGCACAGCGGGAGAGTGAGAGAAAACGCCAAACCCTGCCAAGCTACTCTGTAAAAGAGTGAGGTAGAGGGAGAGAGAGAGGACGCGAGGCAGTCGAGTCAGCTGCGGGAAATTTGTATTATGAAATTCTGGCGAATTCAGGGCTTACGGAGCTCTCATATCTACCAAGTTGTGGCTTCGTAACATCTGAAAACCCTATTTATTGAAGCCAGGGGACCTTCGTAGTGCCTTGGAGTATTCCCCACTTGTAGTCCTTCCAAAAGAAGCTGCAAGTCGGTTGCAGATATCATTTTAGAGCCTCGCAATGTTAGCTTTAGTAAAAAGAGTATCTTCTATAGGGTAATCCTCTCCTAGCTCCAACTTTTACTGAATAAAACTGCAGAGATCCATAGATTTTGAGCTCCAGATCCACAACTTCTCCAAAAGGAGTTTTCCAAGAAAGATGGAAATTGATTGCGGAGATCTCCATGATCTAGGCTAGAAATCCCACAAACATTTTCATGAAAATTGGCTATAGATTGACAGCCAAAAGAGGCATCAATCTCTGCACTAAATGAGTATTAATATTGAAGAGGTCTTTCCGAAAGCTTTTCCGACTCCAAAGATGCGTTAGATCAGCGATAAGCTCTTCCGACTGGCCTTCCCTTTGAAGAGAACGTACAAATTCAGTGCAGAGATCCACAGAAGTCAAGCTCCAGAGTAACCTCACATCGATTCCAATGAAAACTAGCTTCAGTTTAAGCCTCTATCAATGCCCGATAGAGTTATCATCTGCAAAGATGCTTTAGATCTCCGAAAGAGTATTCGAACTTCAATTTCCATGCCAGAGATGGCATCCTTTGGCTTTTCGTGGCCCATAAATTATCAACAATATGATTTGGTTGGCCATAAACATCTATTCGAAACGACAACGTCGTCATTTGGCCCCATCCATAGCCCCCCCCCCCCCCCCCCCCCCCCCCCCATATGTGCGTTTCGAGTAGTACATGAAACCGGGAAGAAAACGAAAGAGAGCCAACAGCCGCAAAAGAAAATTTTGAAATTAGAAAATTTCGCTGCTGCTTCGGCTGGTGGCTGTATTTCGAGTTTTCCTTCCTTCTGTTGCTGTTTCTGTTTCTGTTTCTGGTTCGAGTTTTCCTCTCGAGTTGAGTCCATAAATAAAAGCAAAGCAATTTGCGCGCTGCGAGGGCTATAGATAGGTCTGTCTCTGGTCTCTAGATTCTGGTCTCTGGTCTCTGGCATGGCCTGGACTCTCCTCGGATTTGGATGTGGATGTGGTGTTGTGTTGTGGCCAGAACGCACCAGACCCTGGCCAAAGGCAGATGCGTTGTGCCACGCGCCGTTGTACGAAAAAAGAAAAAAACCACTGCGACACTTGACGAAGCAGAAGCAGAAGCTGAAGCTGAAGAACCAAAATAAAATAAGGAAAAACTAATTTTTTCCATTTATTTTGTTTTTTTTTTTTGGTCTATGCTATTTTTGGTGCTGCACACACGCATACATAGATTGTGGATCCATATCTCGAGACGAAATCCTCGACGCAGGCAGTGGAAGAGACGCTGAACGGTTTCAGTAAGCGGCAGTGCGACGTGACGAGCAGTTTGGAGAATTGGACAACGACCATCCAGGAGAAGCGAGAAGTTGAATATCTGCTAGAGAAAGTCATGAGCGATAACGAGGAGGTAAGTAGAGGAGGCCCCTGGTCACCGCCCCTGCCCTTGCCCAGAATCAAACTCTCTTTTCCCAGACGGTTGCCAAGAGCACCCAAGTGGACACCCAATTGTATCCCGTCTTCGGTTCCCCCTCGATGGACACGAAGCAGCTGCTGTCGGGCATACGGGAGAAGCTGAGCTTCGTCGGCCAGGACATTGAGCGGGCCCAGGACGAGATCCAGCACCGCATTCAGACCACCCTGAGCATCCAGACCAAGGACCAGCAGTCGCTGGCCAAAATCGAGCAGGTGATCAACAATCTGCGCATGCTGAAGGCCCGCCTCGACGGCATCAAGTACGACTATCGCACTCTCATCGAGAGCGTGCTGCTCTTCCTGGAGAACATTGCCCAGCTGCGGAACGAGATCGATGAGTATTTCGCGAGGCAACAGCAGCAGCCGCACCCCTCTCCATCCCCATCCACGGGCAGTGTGGAGCGCAGCATTGCAGAGCACGAGAGATTCCGCGATCATTGCATGGATAAATTTAGATCGTTAATCACACAATCCGAACTGCTGATCGATCGGGTGCGCGTGCTGGAGCCGCCGGGGGCACGCGAAATCGACACCGATCGCATTCTGAAGTTGTTGGAGATTCTGCGCATTCACTTCGAGACGCAGTGCAGTGCCAGAATGTCGTCGCTCGAGCGGCTCGAGAAGATCGAGCAGTTCCGCAACGATCTGGAGGACATCGATCGGAGTCTGGACAGCGTCAGCAAGCAGCTGCACGACATCAATGGCCAGAGTGTCGATAGTCTGGCGGCGGCCAAGACCACATCGCTGGCATTTGAGTATTTTGAACGTACCATTGAGGTGAGTGAACCCCCCCTCCCCCCGAGTGCAAGTGGAAGATCCAAAGTGTTGAGGTGGGTTATGTTTATAGACAAGACTGAAGAGAAAAACAAAACAGAGAGCAGATCTCTTTGGTTATTTCATGATTTAATGATCCATTTTCTATAGTGTTCAATGCCCAAGCAATTGAAATCGACTCGCCATCAGCAACGCTGGGGCCAAACAGCCCACACTCTCGAGGTAGATGGAAAGATAGATAGATAGATAGATAGATACTTGTAGAATAGATATATGCATATATCTACCCCCCCACCGCCGCTGCCCCCTCTGCATGAGCAAAACAGAGTTCTGAACACCCAAAAAAAACATTCATCAAATTTCCAAATGACATTTTTTTTTTACTCTCTCGGGCGCATCGCAACTTTGAAAATGTTGTAGCTGTCAGCGGATGGGCATGGGGCATGGGGGATGGGGGATGCCTTAGAGATAGACAGCGGCAGCTGTCGTTAGTTTGTAATTAAAAACTTTTGAAATACATCTTTGCATAACGAGAGATACAGATACAGACATAGATACAGCTACAGATACAGATACACACAACATTTCGAATGCTGGCACGTTTCTATTGCACTTTCTGCTTTTTGGCATTTGAGGGAAAGATACTTTTAGATGGAGATCCGCTGCTTGGCTGCACTTTTCCCCCCGTTTTCTTGTGCCCTCCCAGACGCTTGCCCGCATTTACTCGCCTTTTGAGTATATTTTCCATGCTTTTCCCTCCATTTAGCTGCTCGAGAAGCGCATTGAAAAGTTCACAGATTCGACGAGCCAGCAGCTGCTGATCACGAATCCCGAAAGCGAACAGTACGTCAAGGAGGAGCTCCGTAAACTCAACGACAAGTGGCAGAGCTTCAAGGATCAGGTGAAGCAGAAACGAAAGAGCCTCAACCAGGCCACAGAGTTCTTCGAGGTTGTCGAAAAGGTAACGCCAGCGCCAAGAAACTCCCCCCAAGACCCATTCTAATCCGAGGATTCCTTCAGATCGATGCCGAATATCGGGAGATCAGCTATTTCTACAGCAGCGTCTCCAACAAGGTCCCGTATCTGCGCGACTCTGTGGAGGCGGCCAACCTCGTCAACGACATCGAGAACTATGTCACAAGTCGGGAGCCGGGACTGCGCTCGAAGCTGGACAGTGCCTCGCAGTGCGCCCACGACATGAGCAAGGTGTCGGCGCTCTACAACGACGTGATGAACATCTTCCAGTCCTTCATCAAGCTCAAAATGGACATCAACATTGTGCAGGAGCGCCTGAACCAGGAGCAGCGGCAGCGGGAGCAGAGGGAGCGCGACTCGCGCGATCAGGCGGAACGGGAGAAGGCCATGCGCGAGGCAGAGGCCAGGGAGCGCGCGGCCAGGGAGGAGCAGGCCCGTCTGGAGAGCCAGCGCCAGCAGGCGGCCATCGAGCAGGCCCAGAGGGAGCTGGTGGCCCGGGAGCTGGCGCTGCGCGAGCAGGCCGTTCGCGAGGAGGAGTCCCGGCTGAAGGCCGTGCGGGAGCAGGCCGCCCGCGAGCAACTGGCCCGGGCACAGGCGGCCCGCGAGGAGGAGATGCGCATTCAAACGCTGCGGGAGATTGCCAAGCGCGAGGAGGAGGCCCGTCTGCACAGCAAGCGCGAGGAGGAGATCCGAATCAGGCGCGAGGACGAGTCGCGCGCCAAGCGCGAGGAGGAGGCCCGCATTCAGCGCGAGGAGATCACGCGCCTGCAAACACTGCGCGACCAGGTGGACCAGCAGCGCATCGTCACCGAGAACATCCGCAAGGACATCCAGGTGAACTCCATCTTCACGGAGCTGCGCTACGCCTCGCCGCTGTTCGTGCGCCCCCTCAAGGACGCCGTGACCCGCGAGGGCGACCGATTCGTGTTCGAGTGCGAGGTCACCGGCACCCCAGAGCCCGCCGTCGAGTGGTTCAAGGACGGCATCAGCATCCTGAGCCACGCCGACTACAAGACCAGCCTCGACAAGGGCATCTGTCGCCTGGTGATCGAGGAGACCTTCGCCGCCGACTCGGCGCGCTTCAGCTGCCGCGCCTCCAACCTGGTGGGCACCTGCGACACCAATGCCACGCTGGCAGTGCGCGAGAATGCCGCAGAGCTGCAGCTGGTGCCGCCCCGCATCCTGCGGTTCCTCGAGAGCGGCAAGGCCACCGAGGGCAGCTCCTTCCAGTTCGGCTGCATCGTCGCGGGGGTGCCCCTGCCCACGGTGCAGTGGTTCAAGAACGACAAGTGCATCGACGACTCGCCGGACTACGTCATCAGCTACAACAACGGCGAGGCCACGCTCCGCTTCGAGGAGGTCTTCCTCGAGGACGACGCGGTGTACACCTGCAGCGCCTCCAATCCGGCGGGCATCGAGCACTGTTCCGCCAGCCTGATTGTGGAACGTAAGTGCAAAACTGCAAACCATCGCCCCCATGGATCGATCTCCTAAAAGTATGCTCTATTTCGCCACAGCTTTGGAGCCCACAGAACTGCCCAGCTTCAAGGTTCCGCTGTCGAATGCCATGGCCCGCGTGGGCCAAAAGATCAAGCTGGAGGCCGTCGTGAGTGGCATACCCCGACCGGACATCTGCTGGGTGCACAACGGCAAGCCGTTCCAGCCACGCGATGCAAAGGTGAGTTTTCACTTCCACCACGTTTCGTGGGGTCAAAAATCCCATTCAAAATACTCAATTTTGCCAAAATATATTTATCTGTAGATAGAAAATCTTTTGAAAAAACTCATCTGTTGGGATTTATTGGAATTTTCCTTTGTATTTTTGCACGGTACTTTCTTCGGAATTCCATCTTTTGTTCTTAAAAAATTGAAACATTTTGTGTGGATTTAAGAAGAAAGATTTGTTCTTTTTGGCACACAGAAGACGGAGATACTCTAAAGAGAAGAATCCCAATAGTAATTCTAATGATGGGGGAAGAGATATGATAGATTGACTATCTATGATATTTTTTGATAAAAAAAACAAACGAAAATTTTAAAGATTTTTTAAATCCTTCACTAGGAGGTCCTTGATTATCAACAATACTAAACAAAATACAAAAAAATACCAAAAAATACCAAAAATACCAAAAAATACCAAAAATACCAACAAAAAATACCAGAAAATACCAAAAATAAAACACAAACAATTTATATCAAATTTAACAAATCGAGACAAAAACCAGAAAAATACAAATCAAAATAAACCAAAAAATTAATACTAAAATAGTAGAAACACATATCGTAATAATAGTCAAAATGAACAGGAAAAATATTAGGAATAAAGTCAAGAAAATACTCAATATATATTAGAAAATACCAGAAAAATACTACCAAAACTAAATACTGAAAATAAAGGACATCTACTGGCATAATACAAGAATGATGGCACAATCGTAGTCCCCTAAAAATACTAGTTTCGAGAAGTCTTCCAGTTGAATTTTCGAAAAATGTTGACCCATTTTCGGCCCTGGAATACTTTCTTTCCGATCCATTTCCCCGCCCCAGAACTTCCGATCAACAATGCAAGATCCCCAGCAAAGCAAAGGGTAAACAAAAATTCCAAGTAAAATAAAATGCCACCAAGTACAATCCCTCCCCCCTCCACCCACCAATCGCCATGCCGCCCCCCTCGACAACTGTCTGGCGAATTCCATATAGACAGTGCCATAGACATATACACAATACTATATACGCGGTATATACTGTACACAAATTTTGGCTGGAAAGAAAAAAGAGACCAGAGAATATCGAAATAATTCTATAATTTGTGGTTCTGTGGGCGTTTTCCAAAATTTGGAAAAGAAAATATCATCATGTTTTAGTTGCTCGGATGGGGATCGCGAACGGACTGACGTCAGTGGCGGATGAATGCGTAGACGCATCAGACGGGGCGCTCCCTTGGCTGATGATCTAGTACACCATCGACAACATCCTCTGGGTCTGTCTCTGTCTCTGTCACTGGTCAGCATTTTGGGTTGCAAACACACACAGAGAGAGAGTAAATTCAAGGCAAACATTTCTGAAAATACGCCAACGCACTTTATCTTTCGTTGCAATTTAGAGAACATATAGCGGCCATATAATATCTAATATCTAATATCTAATAGCTGCAACTTTTTTGGCAGCTACCACTCGTCGCAGACTCTGCAACGAGCCGTGCAACGTGGCAAATTCAATTCACCACAGTGTGGCAGTCACAGTCAGTCCATCCCCCTCCCCCCACACCCCCAAGAATCTCCAAACCCGGGATATCGCGCGTCAGGCAATTTGTTTATTGTGGGCGCCAACATTGTATATACAAATTTGCAAAAGATATAGATACATACATATGTATGTATAGACGAGTATTCAGCGAAAAAATTGGCAAAAAAATTCAGAAATGACTTCATTGGCCGCACTTTTTAATTGCCATTCTGTCATTCTGTTTTATGCTCTTTATATTCCACAAACATGATCTCACTGTGGTTTCAATCACTGGTTTAAAACCATTTTCGTAATTGAAAATCGGTGATCGCTTTGTTTGCTCTCTCCCATTGAACACCTGTGCTCGGGGGCTTCCTGCAATTTGGGGCCAGCAAAACAAAGAGCAGCAAATAAACAAAACAAAAGCCTCTTCTTGGGCCTCCGCCGGATGCGCCCCAGAGATCGGCGATCGCAATTGCTCTGCCCACATCCGCACACACTCCAACAACAACAACAACAACACGAACAAAAACTCAAATAAATAAGATTGAAAATTTGTGTAAAAAAGAAGAAACATTCAATTGCAAAAAAATTAAGAGGAAATAAAAGAAAGAAAAACCAAAAAACAAAATGAAACAAAAACTAGAACAAAAATGAAAGCATTAGCCTCCGATCGTCTCGGTGCTGATCGGCTCGGGTCGGCTCGGATCGGCTCGGATCGGCTGGGATTCGGGTTCGGGTGTGGTGTGGTGAATACTGAATGAATGCCATGTCTTGCCATCGTTTTCTGATGAGTTTCCCAATGACTTTTACTCTGTACTTTCAGTATGAATACGGCCGCGTAACGCTGATAATCCCCCAAACTTATCCCAACGACGCCGGATCGTACGTTCTGAGCGCCAAGAATCTAGCCGGAGAGGCATACACTAGCTGCAACGTCATTGTCAAGGGTCGCCTCCCCAACGAAACGTCCGATTCCGAGATGGCCAGCGACATAGAGCCGATCAAGCCGGCAGTCCACCTGCCGCTGAAGGATGTCTCCATTTTCGAGGGCAAGCCCGTGCGTCTGGACTGCGTGATTGTGGGTCAACCAGAGCCAGAGGTCATCTGGTACCACAACGAGCGGCCCGTCAAGGAGTCCGCCGACGTCCAGCTGCTGTTCCAGGGCGATCGCTGCTCGCTGATCGTCCAGGAGGTGTACCAGGAGGACGCCGGCCACTACAAGGTGGTGGCCATCAATTCAGCAGGGGAGACATCGAGCAGCTGCGAGCTGAAGGTCACGCCGCTGAACCTGCAGGCCGAGCCGGCCACGAGGGCCCAGGTGGAGAGGCAGAGCCTGCCCAAGGACGCGCAGCCAAAGTTCGAGCGCCTGCTGTCCGATGTGCTGGCCGATGAGGGCGAACAGGTGGTCCTGGAGGTGCAGGCCAGCGGCGACCAGCCGCTGAGCGCCCAGTGGTATCTGACCAACAAGGAGCTGCAGCTGGACGATCGCGTCACTGCCACGGGGGACCCCGAGTCGGGCGTCTTCAAGCTGATCCTGAACAACGCCAGCGTCGACGACAAGGGCGTCTACACGGTGAAGGTCTCCAACCAGGCGGGGGACGCCAAGTGCTTCTCGCATCTGATTGTAAAGTCCGTGAATGCCCCCGAGAACCGTCGCAGCAGCCAGTCCTCCGTGGAGATCGTGGAGCGACACGCCTGTCCCGAGTTCAGGGAGCTCTTCAGCGACAAGCAGGGCAGCATCGACGACGTGGTCAAGTTCGAGTGCATTGTCAAGGGCAGGCCCACGCCCAAGGTCCACTGGTTCTTCAACGACCAGCCCGTCCACGGCCACAACTTCCTCGTCTCGACGAGCGGCGACCGCCAGGTGCTGACCATCCAGAAGCTCACCCACGATGCCGTCGGCAAGATCAGCTGTGTGGCCGAGAACGAGGCGGGAAAGGCCACCTGTGTGGCCTTCCTGAACATCATCGGCAGCGGCCTGCCCGCCTCCAGCGACCTGCAGACCATGACCCAGGAGCACAACACCGAGTCGTCGCGTGTGACCATCAAAAAGCAGACCTTCACCACCACCTCCACGTCGCAGGTGAACTCCTACGAGGGCAACGTGCCCCAGACGGAGGTGCACCACTCCTCGGCCCACATTGACCAGTCGCTGAAGCAGTTGGGCCAGCAGCGGCCCGAGATCATGGAGAGCCACCACTACCAGGAGCTGCACAAGAGCAAGGAGATGACCGCGCCCAGCCTGCAGCAGAAGTCCTTCACGGTCGTTCAGTCGGCCGCCAACGGCGGGGGTCCTTCGCCCCTGCCGGCCATCACCATCCCCGACTCCCCCACTCGCCTGCGCAAGGAGATTGCCCCTCGCTTCACCACGCCCCTCACGGGCAAGATCGTCGATCAGGGCGCCGACGTCAGCATGGAGGCCATCTACGACGGCTACCCCTCCCCCGAGATCAAGGTGGAGAAGAACGGCGGCCAGCTGTTCGATGATCCGCACACGAAAATCTCCAATAAATTCAATCGCGTCACCATCGAGCTCAAGCAGGTGGGCGTGGCCGATGCGGGACGCTACGCGGTGACAGCCTCCAATGCCGTGGGCCAATCGACCAGCACCGCCGATTTGGTGGTCAAAAGTGAGTATTTCCTACAGTATTTTTTTTGGTATACGGGCATATGGGTTGGGTTCTACTTGTATTTATGATTGCTTTTGGCCCTCAATTTTCATGAATTTGCTTGGGGAAATTTCCACTTCTAGAAAGCTAGAAAGAAATGGCAATTTATTCCCAACAATGATCCATCATTTTGGCGGCCATTAAGACTATGGGAATTCCTTCTGCGGATTTCTGCGAATTTTAGATCCCAACCAAGCGGGAAGCCAAAGATAAGTTCGTCTAAAACGTATGCCTTGGAAGGCCTTTAAAACTTCTTTAGATTTTAGTAGATGATAGAATTTGGGTTCAGATTAGTCTTTATTTTCGAAAGGTTTCAATGAAATATTTTCTGAAAATTTCCCAAAATTGCTCTTGCGAAAAAGAGCCACCAAAATGATTTACAAATCAATTGAAAAAAAACACAGAAGCACTGATACAATTTCTGCTCAAATACTGCTCTATTTTGAGAGCTAATGTTTCCATATATTAATTAAAAATAAAGGCAAAAACTGTACAGGGCTCCAAGAGTAAAAAACTCTATAAAATATGTTACTATTTTCCCTTTTGGTATTTTCTTGGATTTAACTTTCTTTTTTCCTCTCGAAAATCTTCTTTTCGGGAGCCATGGTAAACACATAGATACATATTTCTGTATGTAGATGTGTGTCTGTGTGTGTACTATAAAAACCAATTCGCAGAATTAATGAACTGGCGAAAAGTGTTTTAAATATCTTAAACATAGAATATGGCATATAGCATCTAGCATCTAGCATAGACATTATAGAATACACATGTTCGAACAGCCCAGCCCAGCCCAGCCCAGCCCAGAGATAGACCCTATATCATATGTTCCCCGTCTGGTCGGTCCGCTCGGCCCGCTCGGCCCGCTCGGTGCTCGTTCGTGCCACACATCAATCAGCGTAGAGCATTAAAGTGTCATTGTATGGATCTTCAAACGTCAATGCCTCGAGGCAGCAGCTCCCTCGCGGAATATTGATGAGTTTTTAGTGGGGTCGAACGATTGTTGTTGTTATTGTTGAAATTTCAATAGTTTTTCATCCCCGGGGAAAAAAAAGGCCAAATGCAAAAAAGATTTTCTTACACGAAATTTATAAATATTCCTCGTTGTGGGGTCGTGGGTGGGGGTGGGGGCCTGCGGTTCTATAGAGGGGGGTCTATAGGATGTGAATGTGGGGGCTGTCTGATGTCTGCAATTATTATTATGTAAATGGGGATCGTTTATTTACTCGAGATTTTAGCAGATTTTTGTCGTCTTGTGTGGTTTTGGGGGCCGCGTTTTGGGGATTATACATTATACTAGATATGTTTTTACTGCCTGCCTGATGTCCGATGTCTGAGCGAATTATTCATTATGGCCGCTGATTGGGTGGGACGGCTGTTTCAAGTAAATTTTAACCGCAAAAACAACAGACCGATCCACAGATCCACAGATCCACAGATCCCCAGATATCTATGATTTTGCAATGACACCGAAAAAGTGTAGGCTAATGTTTATGTTCCACTGAGTGGTTCCATTCGCCCCCAATTTGAAGATCTTTCATGTGGTTCCCGTCTTTGGAGCATCTCAAATGTGGCTTCTTCCTTTCCGCAGAGACCATCTTTCCGCCAGTCTTTGGCAGGCGCTTGCAGGCACAGGTCGCCAAGAGGGGCGAGAAGCTGATCATGGAGGTGGAGGTCACAGGACTGCCAGACCCCACTGTGCTCTGGCTGAAGGACGACAAGCCCATACAAGATGCCGGCATATCCCCGCACCGACTGCTTGCCCAGGGCAACTCCTATCGTCTGATCATTGAGAAAGGTACTGCCCTTGGAGTCCTCACCCCCTCTTTCGGTATATCCTTTACCCCCCCTTTTATTGCAGCACAAACCTCTGACTCTGGCAAGTATATGGTAAGAGCCACCAATGCCGGCGGGGAGGCCAAAAGCATCGCCGATTGTGCCATTCTGGAGCCATCGCCGGAGCGCCTCCAAGAGGTCGTCAAGACCATTGTGTATGAGACCACGCCCACGGCCGCGCCCACGCCCATCGCCACGGCCGCGACAGCATCGGCCTTGAGCGATTTTAAAACCGAAGTAAGTGTGCATGTGCTCAATATCTAACCAACAACCAACCACCGATCCAACGATCAATGCATTATCCTTCAAAAAGATCACCTATAAACACATAAAGATTTCATCTTTGATTCGATTCGATTCGATTCGATTCGATTGGACTCTGATTCGATCTATACTTCGATTCTAAAACTATTCTAAACTCTATTCTAATCTAAATCTATTCTTTTTTCGACGCTGTTAAGTTTACAAAAAAAAGAAAAAACAAAAAAATTAATAAACAAAAACCTTTTCTTTGTGAATCTTTCTTCTCTCAATCTCTCAATCAACGTCGCTCGTGTCCTTCCTCCGCTCGATTGGTTTTCGCTTTGATCATTCCACACGCCCACAAACGCCCACAAACGCCCACACATACAACCACAACCACTCATCGTGCCACACATTCTCATGGCAGAAGCAGCCACAGCAGGAGCCACAGTCGTATCAGAGCACTCAGAGCGATGTGACCCATGCGAACGACCTGCACGGCCTGTCCGAGTCGAAGGTGATCACTGAGCATCGTTGCACCACCGAGGCAACCATGCGTCTAGAGCACAAGTCGGCCTTCAACCTGGAACTGCCCGAGCTGGCACCGCGACCCAAGACACCGCCCACCGCCGACACCACCGATAGAGCCACCGATAGAGCCACCGATACAGCCACCAGCCACACCACAAACACTGCCGCCCCCACACAACAGATACAGATACCGATCCAGACCCCCTTCACGGTCAGCTTCAAGACCGGAGTGACCCAAACCCCGCCGCCAGTGCCGCCCAAGCCCTGCACGCCAGTGGTGGCCGCACTCTATGGCCAACAGCAGCCACAGCCACAGCAGCCACAGCAGATGCAAACGCAGACCAACACCAGATACGAGCAGAGCGAACACAAGTCCTCGTCGTCCTTCGACTACTTCAAGAAGATCGACGAGGAGACCATCACACAGCGCCCCAAGCCGCTGGCCTTCAAGCCCCTGGAGACGGTGGTGCGGCAGCCGCACGCCCAGAGCCTCGCGGAGGAGCTGCGAAGCCTCAATCTCATACCGGGCGATGCGCCCGAGTTCCTCTACGAGCCGAAGGCCGAGCGGAGGGAGCCCAAGGTGCCGCTGATCAACGAGAAGATCAAGATCCTGTCGGAAGTGCAGCCCATGGAGCCGCCGCCGCAGGGCGGGGTGCCAGTGTTCCCGCCCCCCCTCGGAGCCCTGCAGAGCGTGCAGCACGAGACGACGCTCACGAAGGAGGTCAAAGTGGAGTACGGCCAGCCCATAGTGCGTCCCGCGGCGGTCCTGGCCACGCCCGCCCAGCAGAACCCCCGTTCGCCCTCGCCCAAGCCCTCGGCCGAGGGCGTGGCCATGTCCAAGCTTTGGACGCCAGCCGGGGTCGCGGCCCCACCAGCCGCCACGCCCACAAAGGAGCTGAATGCCCCCTTCCTGGTGCAGCAGATAGCCAAGAGCATACCGCCCCAGTCGGTCACCCATCTGGTGAATGTGGACCTGGAGCCGGGCACGCCCCCGGAGATCTGTTTCGCCCCGAAGCCGGAGGAGGCGGTGCGCCGCCGCTCGCTGGTGGAGAGCATGGAGCAGAAGCTGGAGCAGAATCTGCTGCAGGGCCCGCGCAAGGTGCTGCCGCACTCGGTGCCGACCCTAACGCCGCCCGCCGCCAGCGCCTACCGCCCGCCACCGCCAGTGCTGCCCACCCGGCTGGGCCTCTACGAGAGCGACTACGAGAGCGATCGGTACAAGTACAGCGGCAGCGAGAGCGATGCGGAGCCCAGGGCCCAGCAGAAGCCCCTCGCCGCGGAGACGGCGTCCTTCAAGTCGAGCGGCTATGCGGCCGACACCGAGGAGCACTCGAACTATAGGAAATCCGAGAGCAGCTACTACGAAACGAAGACGTCTTCATCGACCACCTTGGGTGGGGGCGCCGGTCCACAGAAGCTCCAGCCCGAGCCACCGGCAACGATTTACTATACCCCACAGGCGTCACAGGCGCCACAGCCGCAGCCACAGGCGCCACAGCCGCAGCTGCAACAAAAGCAATCCCAAGAGGCGAAGGTTCGCATTTAGATACCACCAAATAATTCTCTGTACTTGTGTCTGTCACTATATCTCTGTGTGTTGTTGTTGTTGTTGTTCTTGTTTGTTGTTGTTGTTGCTAGCACTTGAGGGGGAGGGGGGCGGGGGGATGTAACTCCCTCGAAGCGAAAAAGCCACTAAACATTGCCCTTTAACCCTTCACATTGAGACTTCATTGTCGTTGTTTTTGTATCCCTAAAACATGTTCTGCATTTGCCTGATCTAACAAGCCATTTCCTATGTGTATTCCGCCCACAAATACCCCCGCCATCGTTGCTAATACTTTGTACCGTTCGATCTCGTCCCGCAGGACTTCTTTAGCAGCTCGAAGGTGACCAGCAACTACAGCAGCAGCTCCTCGCACCACCAGGAGACCAAGTACTCGTCGACAGGGCCCGTCACGGTCCTGCCGCAGCCGAGTCCGGTGCCGGCCCAGCGAAAGACCCCGGCGGCAGAGTTCAGTGACTACAGCAGCGAGGTGGACGAACGCTTCCGCTCGGTGTCGCGCACCAACGAGTCGGAGGCGGACATCAAGGGCTACCGCGTGGTCTTCCCCCCCACACCCACGCCGCGCACGAACGTGGCCACCAACGGGCACAAGTCCCCGGTGGTGGTGATCACCCCCTCGCCCATGGAGTTCGAGCCCATGCCCCACGAGGGCCGCCCCAAGTTCGAGCCGATTGGCAAGGAGATTCGTCACGAGATCAAGACGGAGAGCAGCACCAGCAGCAGCTCAAAGCAATCCAAGTTCTTGCAACAGCAGCAACAGCAGCAGCAGCCTGTGTTCAAGCCCAAGCCTGTGGCAGCCAAGTTTATAGCTGCCACACAGCAGCAGCAGCAGCAGCAGCCACAGCAGCACTCGCCTTCTCGTCCGACCATGTACTACAATGCTGTTGCTGGTGCCCCCATGCATCTGGCGAAGGTCGCCACCGAGACCAAGAACTCGATGCAGATGCACGAGTCCACCGAGAGCTCTCAGCGGGTGGTCAACATGCAGCAGACAAAGCGCATCATTCACTTTGACAGCCAACAGCAGCAGCAGCAGCAGCCGTTGGAGCCCTTCCCCTACAGCCCAGCCCCGAGTCGCACGCCCTCGCGGCAGTCGCATCTGCCGCCACCGGCCACGCCCACAAAATTCATACCCGGCGAGTTCCGGGAGAGCGACTACGAGAGCGAGGTGGAGGGCGGCCCGCGCATCCAGCCGCTCTGGTCGCCCTACGGCGACGGCCTGACCCGGGGATACCGCCGTGTGGCGCCGCCCCAGGGCTCGGCACGCTCCTGCAGCCTGCCACGCGCCTACGAGAGGGTGCTCTCCCCAATGGAGTTCGATCGGGGCCCCGAAATGCCCACCAAGATCCACGTGGATGTGAACACTCTGCGGAAGGAGCAGCGGGGCGGCAGCACAGTCACCACGCAGCACAGCACCCAGTCCTTGAACAGAAACACCACGATGAGGGGACAGCATCAGCAGCAGCAGCAGCAGCAACAGCAGCAGCAGTCCATGGATCAGATAGATAGGGCTGGCACCCTGCCGCGTTGTGGATACAACAGCAGCAGCAGCACCTTGCAACAGCAGGCTGAGGGTCAGGGCAAGCGCATGGGCTCCACGTTCCTGCAGAAGTCCCATCAATTCATCGAGGATGTCAGCAGGGATGTGCAGCAGCAGCAGCAGCAGCAGAGGAATGGCCATGGCCATGTCCTGCGACCGGGATTCAAGCGTGCCCCCAGCGAAGGCAGCAACCAGCCGCAGGCCTATCGCGATGAGTCGCGGGTCTCCCAATACGGTGAGTGCGCCGCAGTTCCTTAACCATCTAGAGACTAATCCAGCAGTAGATACAACATTATTTTATCCATTTTGAATTGGAATTTGAATTTGAATTTGAATTGGACTTTTTTTAAGTTGAAAAATTGGTTTGAGAAATTTTATTTATCGTTTCGCCTGAAAGACCATTCCAAAAAAAAATACCACACTAATCCATATCGAGACCATATCGTTTCATCGTTCAAGTATTCCACGTGTATGTTGTGTATCTTTAAGTTGTTTTTTGGTTTTGTATAAAACTTCCCTTTCTAATGTCGCGGTCCAAATCAGGCACCAAATGCATCGACCCCAACACCGGTTTGATCTATTTCAAATACGATTTTGGCTACGAATTCGGTATACTCTTTCCCGGCGAGGGCCACAAGTTTGTCCAGAGCCAGTGGAACGGCAAGGGCAACGGCGGCCACGGGCCCATCCAGAATGGCGGTCGCCACTCGCCGTATCCCCTGAAGCTGGCCCCGGGAAATGAGCTGGTCATACCCGTGCAGCACGAGCACACGGGCAGGGGTACGCCCACACCAGGCTATGGGGCGACACCCGTCCAAGGCGCCACACCCGTCTATGGCTACACTCCTGGCTATAACTCCGCTCCTGGCTATAACTCCGCTCCTGGCTATAACTCCGCTCCTGGCTATAGTTCCGACAATGAAACACAACGTCGCCATGTGGGACCCTCGGGCGTGCCGCGTTTGGCCGCTCGCTACAATCCCCAGAAGCGCTACAGTCTGCCGAGCAGCCACAGCCACAGCCACAGCCTCGACATACATCTCGATCGGTTGCACGCCCAGGCGCCGCGTCTCCCAACCGAACAGCAACTGGTCCGCACAGGTACAGGATATGAAAGGATGCACTCCATCAATCAATCAATCAAACAATCAAGCGTTGATCTAATGCCAAAAATCACACCACTCGCTATCGATGTTGTTTCTTCTCTCTCAATTTTTGTGATTAACCCCTGATCAGCCATCAGGACAGTAGTCCGTGTATATATATACCATACATAAATATATGTAGCATATAGGCACCTAGGCGTATCCTTAACACCGACAAAAAGCATGAGATCTTAACCCCCAAAAGAGAGGCATGCAAAGTCCTCTCTTTGGTTCTTTTTTTTTATTTATTTGCTCGCTCTGCCTCGTTTCGTTTGTTTGTTGCATGGAAATTCTTGTGTTTTTGTGTGCTTAAAAATCTGTACAAAAAGTGAAAAGAAAAAGAAAATATATATAAGTTTATGTGTGCCACCGCTCGCGTTTGATGCTGCTAATCCCACTAATGGATGCCCCGCTTTGAACAAATGCCTAGAAGCCGAGAGATTTTCTAATGGTTTTTCATCCGCCACGCGCCACCCGCCACCCCCTGTGCCGCTCTCTCTCTCTCTCTGTGGAACACCCAGTGCCGGAACTGCCCAATACGGAACCCGTCAATGCCCATTTGAGCCGCGATGAGCAGGCACAAAGGCAGCCATTATTCATAACGGTAAGCGCGAGTCATTTACCTTTGACCCCTCACTCGGTAATCTCTCTCTCTCTCGCTCTCTCTGGCTCTCTCTGTGTCCATCTGTAGCCCCTGAAAGACATTGCAGTGGGCGTTGGGGGCACAGCCCGTTTCGAATGCATTGTCCAGGCCCATCCGCAGCCGCAGGTCAACTGGAGCCACAACGGCGGGCATTTGGGGCACGGCAGTCGGCATTTCATTGAGTACCGGAACGGCGTGTGCCGTCTAACACTGCCACAGGCCTATCCGGGTGAGTGTATGCCCCTGCCCCGCACCACCCATCGGGGACCCATAAACGGGGACACAAGCTCATTATCCCCCCCCCCTCTGGTAACCGTCTCAAAATTTCGATCCATTTGCAGACGACAATGGAAGCTACGTTTGCACCGCCATGAATCCGCTGGGAGCCGCCAGCACAAGCGGAAATTTGAATGTTTCGAGCACAAACCGTGGATTTAGATACTAAGAGGCATACTACTAATCGTACCACTATTTATTTATTTATATTTATATGATTTACTTTTATTTGTTCAATGCCAAAGTTTCGCCTTATTGTATTGTATTGTAATCGTATTCGTTCGAGGTTCATTGTGGACTCCCAAAAACTCCATCTACAGATATACGGTTCACGATCGGATCGGATCGGATCAGCCCACGAAGGACCATTATTAAGGATGCATGCATATAAACAAAAGGAATTATAGTATTACTTGTGTTTTTTTTTTGTCGAAATATCAAAATAAATCAATATATTAAAACGAAGCCTGGAACAATGATTTTCATTTGAATTGCAATTTCGGAAAGGTTTAGCCTTTTTGGATTTGAATTTACAGTTATTTGGGGAGTTTTTTCTAAAAATGTTTTTTTAGTTTTAATTTGTATTTTATTCTGGATTTTCCCCTTTCGAAAAGTATCAATTTTCAGAAGTTTGTATTTTTAATTATTTTTCCTTTTTAAATATTTTATTTTTCCTGTTTTTTCAATGGATTATAAATTTACATTTCCAGATATTTTTTGAGTTTTTTTAAACATTATTTTTTTAGTTTAAATCTTTATTTTGTTTTGGACTTTCCATCGACTTTCCCGTTTCAAAAAGTATCACTTTTCAGGAGTTTGTATTTTTAATTATTTTTCCTATTTAAATATTACTTTTTCTGTTGTGGTACATTCGATCATTTATAAATTCACATTTCCAGTTATTTGTGGAATTTTTTTAGTTTTAATCTTTATTTTTTTCTGGATTTTCCATCGACTTTCCGGTTTTACTTTTTAAATATTATTTTTTCTGTAGTTTCGATCGTTTATAAATTTACATTTCAAAATTTTTCCAAGGATTACCCAATGTTTTTATTATGATTTCCTTTTTTTTTAAGTTTTAATGATCTTTTTCCTTTAATTTTAATTTTTATTCCTAAATTCCTCTCTTTTTCCATATATTTTTCAAGTTTTTCCTTAGTTTCGTTTCGTTTTTTTTTTTCTCTCTAAAGATCGCTAGAAAGCTTTTTCTCTGGCGCTCTCTACAGCGAAAATCTAACAATTTTGTTCGAAAAAGCTTTCTGCTCGGTTTTCGAAAAAGCTTTTGGAAAAACGCAGGCGTTAGATGGCGCCAAGTGATCGCTGAATGTTTTTTCCAAATTTCCGACTTTTGTGATATTTATTTATGGATTTTCGAAGGAAAATATTGAAAAATTCCTAAGAAATATTTTGAAAATATTTTCCAAACAAAAATTCTTGGGAAATATGAAATTTTTTTTTGGAAACTATATTTTCCTTATAAGCAAAAAGTTTATTGAAAATTTCGAAAATGTTTACATTCCGATATACTATAGCCGTTCGTTAGATCTTTCGGGAGATATATATTCTGGCAGATTGATTCGGACATTAATAATATTTTTCTTTGATAAACTTTGATGTGGATGCTCGTGATTAATTATTGCTTTAGCGTACAATTTGTGGAGCTGCCAACGGGGGAAAACGATGATCTTCCGAATGATATTCTGAATGAATTACAAAACCTAAAAAATACATTCATCTTGAGCAGATTTTCAATCATTACTCATTGCCACTAAAATACCGAGTATTTCCCCTCCGATTCCCAGTTCTATAAGGAACCAGGCTAAACAAATGTTTGGATTTGTGTGGAATGGAGATGTTCGGGAGGTTTTCGCTTGGCTCGCTCGACTCATAAATGATTTATTTGGGTTTTTTCGGCAACGTTTATTTATCTCATTTTGTTGGCATCTCGCGTTGCTCTTCCTTTTGCTCTTTTGTCGCGATCGCTTGCCAAGAATCGAAGGCGCAAAATGCGAGAAATTCGCTACGAGACGGCTACGGACGGCCCCCAGACATAAACACTCTGCGAGGGGCCTGTGGGCTGGCTGTCAAGTCAAGGTAATGGGTCCACGTCCACGTCCACACAGAGAAGGCCCAGCACAATTTGGGCCTCCTCCCACTCCCACTCGTCCTCTTCGTTCTCTCCCACTGCGGCTGGCAAGTCCTTGACACTGACACGGAAATCTATGGCAATCTACCTGTACGCCGCCGCCTGTGCCCCCCATCGCCACCCACTGGTCCACTAATTTTGGGATGGATGACACACTTCTGTCGATGATTAGTTGTGGGATGTTGGTTGTGGCCTGCTGGTGGGTGGATGGTAGTGGGTGTTGAGCATGTACCGCCTGCCAATCTGCCAATTTCGTATTGTGGGCCAAAGTGCTCTCGGTGTTCAGGCCATTAGGCAGTGGTCCAAGTGTCCCAATTGCATGCTGTGTTACTCAGCATCCAAGACCGTCGAAAGGCACCCCCCAAAAACACTTCTGAATCATTTTCAGTGCATCGCCTGCGATTCAAAACGAATCATTTTTCGTTGAAATCAAACATATGGTCCGGCGGGGCTCTCGATTATCCATACATACATATTAATGACTCATTAAATTGCTTATAAAATTCGAAAATCTATGTGTGCCCACAACTTTGTCAAAATACATTTTCGAAATAATAAAAAAATAAAATACAACAAGAGAAACATGAAAAACATTTCGCATATGCGGCCCGTGTCCGGCCTTGTACTGGCTGCTCCTCTTTTTTGTGTATTTTTTGGCCATTCCTTATTTTTTTTTTTTTGGCTTTTTTTTTTTGCATACTTTTTTGGCACATTTGCAAAATTTCTTTCGCTCTAGCAGCGGTTTTTTCCCCACCCCAGCCGGCTGCAGCCGCTTGGACAAAACACACACAATCTGTGTATATCTATCGTGTGGCAAATGTTGTGCCAGTGCCGATATTTGGTACATTTCACCCATCCCCATGGTTGTCCATGGACAACAAATATTCATATTCTACTGTTTGTATGATGTGATATTTTTGAATCTGAATCTATGGTAAACTTTTTGGGGGGGCAAAGGGAGAGCTTCACCCCCTTTTGCTGGTAATGAAAAAACATTTCCCTGCTCCCTTGCCACTTCTCCAAGTGTCATTTTGTGCAGGGCTTTTGTATCGATGGAAAACCATTTGATAGTTTAATGAAAATGATTTTTGAACCAAGCTTGTGGGGAAAATGTGGCCACAAAAGAGTCCTCTGTCTCCTCAATTCGCTTTTGAATGAATATTATTTTGGCAGGATTTTAATGGGAAAATCTTGTGAATCCTTTGAATACTCATTCGTGCCACTGGACTTTAGTATTTTGGACTCTGGCGGCCCCTTTTCAGTTAAATTGAAGACTTTCTTTCCTCCGTTTTGGACCACGAAAATTGTCGCTTCCTGGCACAAATTTTTTCGTGATGAATAGCTCCTATGCACAACATTCGCATCTTGTGGTGCGCGCTGGCTCGCGAGAGTTTTTCTAAATTAATTAGGCAATTTTCTAAAAATACCAAAATGAACTCAGCGCCAACACAAGAAGAGTCACACACAGAAAAACACACACACACACACACACACACACACACACAGAAGTGAAATTTTGTTGTTCCTACTGTTTGCTACTTTAAATATTTCTTTCATATTTTCCTTGGATTTTTGTTCGTTTGGGTTTCTCCTTGTTGCTTTTCGTTTTTGTCTGCGATTCCATTAGATGGGGCATTAGATCTCTCATGAGTGGTTTATTGGTGGCTTATTGACGGTTCAATTGCTCAACAGGGGAAAGGCGTGGTCAACGTGGGAATTTATGGGAGAGATGGGAGAGTAAATTATGTTCTAGAAATGATCGTTAAGCAACTACGTTGTTTTCCCCCGTCGAATTGCAAATAGTTTTTATTTGTATATTAATTTTTGTGTGGTACTATTTTTCGGGCCCCGGGACCGCACTTGTCGCATATAAATAATAATAAAAATATATTTCCGCTTTTCGATGCAACAACAAAATATAGTATATATATGTATATCTCTATCTCTATCTCTATCTCTATCCTCCGATAGATATACATGGATAAGAGCCAACACCACATCATTCGAGAATTCGATATTATAAACTAGTTCCCAGAGAATCGTAAAATTGTTTTCCACCGACAACCCACGGACTCTCTAGAGCCGCTATATCTATCCGTTCTATCCGTTCTATCAGCTCTGGTCCATTCAAAAGTGTAATAAAGCAGCAGCAGATCCACAGATCCACAGAGAACTACGCAAATGCCGGCTAGAATCCGGGAATGTACAACCATTTAGCACTTCGAAATCTATTCGGAATTTGTTGCTACTTTTTAAGTATTATAATATTTTAATGTCTAAATATATATACACATCTATAGATTTAATTTAATTGGGCGCAACATTGAAAGCCCCGCCGTGGCACCACACACAAATTCAGTTGCATAAGCCCCGATGACAGGCAGCCAGTACGTACTACGTAGGCTGCTTTCTTTCTCTCTCGTTGAACATGCGGCAAGCAGCCGCCCTGCTGCCCTGACTGCCTGCCACGCGTTGACCCTGCCACCGAGTGGCAGCCTGGCAGCCTGGCAGTCAGTCAGTCAGCCGCTCGTTCTTTCTGGTTCGTTCTGGCCCGCAAAACGAATCTTCTTGGCAGCAAATTTATTTATACGCACGCTGTAAATTAGCAAAGAAAACAACACAAAAATGCTGCTGCAAATATAATCAAGAAACACTCGGCAGAGCGAGAGCGAGAGAGAAACGAAGTACCCGATACCCTAGGGGCAGGCTTTTTCTTCGCAGAGATCATCGAAAACTATTACGAGTCCTTGGAAAGCACAGACTTTTGGATTTTTTTGGGGTTTCATCAATGAAAACAGGTTTTCTTTTTCCCATGCCAGAAGCGTGATAAAATAATATTAATTCGATATAATTTTCCTCGAATTTAATATGGAAAAACCTATTAAATATCACAAGCCTCAACCCCCTGCTCACTAGCTTCATTCGCTTGCCCAGATACTCCCGCCAGCGATTTTTTCATAATTTTTTAACAATTTTTCTAGCCTTTTGTTTATTTTTACAAACAATTTTGGTACGATGGATTTTTCTTATTCTGTCAATTCCGATTTCTAATAGCTCCAGAAGGGAAAATGGGGGACCTTGGCATACGATATTGTATCTTCTGGTTCCTCCCGTTCATAATACCCTGGGCAAACAATAGAAAATTCAGTGAGCTGCAAATTTGCAGCAATTCAAAAGTCAGAAGATGATGATGATGGTGTTTGCTGATGATGAAAATGGGGCCAAGTTTTTAGCATAAACACGAATTCCGTTAATGGCCAAAGGAGCAGCAGTGGCAGTGGCAGCAGTGGCAGCCGAATGGCGCAACAATTTAATTGTT